CTCTGTAGGGTCCAGGTAGCGCCTCATGCTAACAGTAGGGACAGTGACTCTAGCCAAATGCAGAACTGGTGAAAAAGAGTCAGAGAAGATGAGGAGGGGAAAATGTCAGTGGCCTCTACCTGTAAAACCATTCCTGTTTGGATGGTCGTCTCGTTGTTGCCCCTCTAGTTCACCTGTTGGTAATTTCATTAACACCAAAGCAGCTGAAACGGATTAACAACCATCTCTGCTACTTACCTGACCAAATCAATATCCCAGAGGTTTAATGAACTGGATGCTATACTCTGATTACAAACTGTTCCTGTAATTTTTTCAGTAGTGTAATTATCGGATTCTAGGAGTAAAACTACTCATTCCTTTGGCAAATCGTCTTATTTACCTGCTCAAATGAAGGGTAATTACACTTCATTTAGGAAACTTTTTACTTAATTCTAATTGTTTTGCAGCAAATACAAAATGAATACTGAATATTAGAACCTGTCAGAATCAGATGCACTGCAAATTACTTCTGAAAATTAAAAATGTCTTAAAATAAGCGTGTTTAGCCTTAATTTGAGTAGAAAAATAAGATGATCTGCCAATGGAATGAGCATATTTACCCTTAAAATCAAATGATTAGATAATAGGGTCCACCCCTTTGGAATGGGGGTGGTTTGTCTTCTTTGTTAGCCTGCAATGCCCCATACCTGTCTATGTCTCTGACAGGGGGGTCGTTTGTTGACCTGGCTGAATAGGTGAGGTCAGGTCTCAGGTCATTGACCAGCTCCTCCCTTGCAGGATGATTTCTCTCCTTTCTTAGGATCAGTGAGGCCCCACCAGGTGAGATCCTGCATGGAGCTCCAGCCTGAGGGAGACTGACAGTCATGTTTAGCTTCTTCCATTTTCTAATGAAGCTCCAACAGTGGAACTTTTTCCACCAAGCTGATTAGTTTATTTCCCCGTAACCTTTCAGCCTGGTGGAGGTGGACAGTTTAGTCTGTGGTGTCTTCGGACAGCTCTTTGGTCTGCGCCATGTTAGTAGTTTGATTCTAACTGATTGTCTGGGGTGGACGGCTGTCTTTATGCAGCTAAACACCTCAGACAGGAGCAGCTAGTTTAGGGGAATAAATGGACTGTTAAAGGCAGACTAACAGGTCTCTGAGGGTCAGAGTTCTAGCTGATAGACAGATGTTCAAAGACTGATTCACAGCTGGATCATACAAATAAATAGTTAAATCATATATTATGATTTCTGGATTTTTTTTGTAGTTTGTCTATCAGTGGACATGTAGCTAGGATGATTCCAGATTCCTCTAAGTGGGAGAAGTTGGAAAACAGCAGTGTTCAAATACTTATTTTCCTCACCTTCCATCCATCCGTATTCCGTCGGAAAAAAAAGTCTTGTCCATAGAAGTTGTCCATATATGAGCGGAGTGGTATATGCTGTTCAGTGCAGCGAGGAATGCTCTAATCTTTATATTGGAGAAACCAAACAACCTCTCCACAGACGCATGGCCAAACAGAGATGTACTGCAGAGTCTTGTCCAGAGGACAAGACTCTGCAGTACATCTACACCTTATGGACAAAGGACATTCTTTGGAGGATCAGAATGTTCACATTCTAGATAAAGAAAATAGGTGGTTTGAGAGGAAGGAAGCTATCTTTGTTAAGAGAGAAAAAACAACTTTAAACAGAGGTGGTGGACTCTGATTCCAGCTTCCAAAAATATACAATTCAATCACCAAAACCCCCACCCCATCACAGAGGAACGAGGGACCTACTCGCTCCTGCCAGTGAACAATACCTCCTTAACGACCGACCCTCAGAACCATAGACAGGTTTCAGATATTACAGGCTAACGATGGAACCAAACGACCCATTCATCGGTGACCATTGCATGTTTACAAGCGATACAAGGCTTTGTCTATATAAGACTCAAACTCACTGCGGATCCAGACATTTGAATTGAGAAAGCTTCCTGGAGAGGTGG